AAAGTTTCATTCCAGTAAATCCAAATTCTCAGTTAATTTGTATGAACTCTGATGCAAACTAATAAAATATATCTTGTTATTTATGAGCACACTTGATTAAAAACTACAAATTACATTTAAATGTTTAGGAGCAATCTGGATGAAAGCTTCAATATGCAGCCAAAACATCCCTCAGTTTTTACAAGAAAACTGATAACAGACTTTTTTTTCCCCAAAATATTCAAATGAATGAAATGAGTCAACAATAGAACATGAAAGTTTCTTATTACAAACTTAGTCCCAGGTTCCTGGAATTGTCCTGCTCATTTTCCCACACGAGTTTCTCGGAAACATAATTTCTTTCAGATGAACTTTAACCTGAAGAAAGACCATCTGGTCCCTATTTATTTACAAACTCAACCCAAAGGCGTGTATTCAGTTTCATGTATAATCCAGGACTTATCTTGTGGCTAAATATTGCTGGAGATGCTTTTTTATGGAGGGAAATAATGAAGGAAAAAAAAGGAAAATAAAAGCTCAGCTCGTTGAGAGTCCCTCTCAAAACCATTACTGAAGCTAATGGGCCTCTGGCACGTATAAATCAGAGCAATATTCATAATTAATTTCTCTCCAGTCCACTGAAGGGCACTGCCAGCATTTATCCACTCCATGTTGTCTTTTAAAATGTGAATGGAACGTTCCTCATTCCCATCATTACAGCAAATCCAGTATCTTGCTTTTACCTTTGGCACCATCACAGAGAACAATTGTTGTATATCACTCTGAATTGAATTAGAAGGAGAAATGCAATATCAAGGCACTATATAACAGGGGCTCCTTTTGCAGAAACTGAACCAGCCAAACTCTGGTTTGCACAAAAAGCCCTCTTAAAGCACAATTTAGGTGTGACTTTACCCATGTCAATTTAGGAAAATCACTGCAGTATGACCCTCCTTCCTTAAAGGACTTTGTATTTTAAACAAAATTTTAGGAAAATCATAATTAAACCATTCTCAGTCGGTAAGAAATAGTATTCAAGTCATTATTCTGATTACAACGACCACATTCTATTCTTGAAACACACACAAAAAGCCTTCATGAATTCTGTGTTACCATGTTATGAGTAGATGGATCACAACTTTTAGGCTTCAACAACCAATGTTTGCTAATCCTGGTGACTTGATCTAAGAGCAGATAATGCCAAAGTGACCCTGTTCCAGGAGCCACTGTGCTCTGTACCCTGCTGCACACGTGAACTCTGTATGTCAAAGATAAATTCTGTTTCAAGAAGCTCTGTATCTAAGTTAAACATGTGATTAAGTGTTTTATATGGCACAGAGTTTAATAGTTAGGGTACTATTTCAAGTGTGTAGTTGACTCTGAAAACAATTCCAAAATAAACTTAAAATGTACTTTCTTGTATCACTTTAAAAATGTAATCTGGTCCTTAACTTTCAAAGTGACTCCCAGAAGGACTTCCACCACTGATTCAATAACCACTCTCCCATCTCCAAACCACTTCTAGGATACTGATACACCAATAGGAACTTCTGAGACAAGAGAGTCAACATCCAAATTGATAATGCATAAAGCATGATTTTTGTCAAGTAGCAGACTTTCAATTTAGCAGCACCAAAACCTGCCCATGCAAGAACCTGGAAGCCAGTTAGAACAGGAGCTCCAAAACATTTGGAGAATCTACAGACCAACATAAATCACCACAAAGCTACAATCTTCAACATCTCATCGAATAAAAAGCAGAGTGAGTAGAGACTTGTTTGTTCTTTTACATTTAGTAGTCTGTTGGAGAATTAAACACCTTACTCAAAAGGGCAAGTTTTAAACTGACAGATTCCATGTCACATGTAATTCCTGAAGAACAGGAAGGAGGAGGCAGCAGAAACCCCCTGATCTCCAGAGCTGCTGCTACAGAACATACGTCACCAAACTCTGGAAGCAAAGTTGTTTTTCTCTTCCTGATGACTGAAATGTGATTAAGTCACATTTTAGCATGTGACTTAGTGTTGATAGTTTAAATTTTCCCTTCTTACTGTACAAAAGCTCAAAAATATGCCTCAAACAAAAGACGCTTCTGTGTGAAAAGGTATTACAAGTTTTATCTGCATTCATAAGTTGCTCCGTTTTAGACAAAGCTCTTTTCCAACTCTTTTCAGTCTAAACAGAAGCTTCAAAATTTGTCTCAAGCACTTCATCTACCAATCTGAGTCTCCAACATAAGCCACCACTAAAAAATTCCCATTGCTCTTTCAAAATCCTTTGTCCAGGAAGTTTTATATTTTGTCAAGACAGGTCAAAGCATTCACTCTTCAGGCAACGAGAGACAACCTCTGTCTCTCTCTCTGCTCTGCTACAGTGGCTGTTTGTTTGCCTTAGAGCTTTCCTATTTTAATATTATTTTTTAACTTGAATCCTTCACTGTAGTGGTACTTAGGATGAGAAGCAAGAAAGAACAGAGACTTACAAAAGGCCTCACACATTAATTACAGTTGCTTTACTAAGAGCCCCCCACCCACGACAGTTCCCTCTCCTATTCCAGTGCCTTTCCCTAGTACCAATACAGTCTTTTTAACAATTCCAGTAAAAGCAGATAAATACATGTATTTTACATTGTCAGCTCTTCATGTCAAGTTTCTATTGAGGCAAAATGTTTTTTTTTATGGAAGAGAACTCTGATAGAAAGACTGCTTCATCCTCCCTGTACCCAGACTCCATAAACCCTTCCAAATCCAGTACTACACAAATGCTGTCAAGATAAACCAAGGAATGCTGAATCCTTTCTCTTAGTATTTTCCATTGCCTTGAATTAGACAAAATCTGCATATGCATTCTGCTTTTTCCTAAACACTTATTTGCATGTCACTGGGCAAATGGATCCCTCTGTTTCTTTTATGAGCTCCCCCAGCAAAAGGAGGAGCAAACTGAGCAGTGAGATATCTGCTGGATCTCTGTATTCCCTGGGGAATGTTTGCACTGCATCATAACAGCATTTGCTCGCCAGAGTCCTTTGAGAAACTTGCTGTTTACAATGGAGCAGACTGGCAAGGCTGCTCTGAGGGCTCTCAGGCAAAGTGAACACCCAGGAAGAGCTTGTTTTGAAGGAGCTTTCCTGAATTCCACGTGAGTGGGGATGGGCACGGCCACGCAGTTCCAAAACTGACACTCCTCCAGTCCCCACCCACTACAGACCTCGGGGATGAAGTGAAAACACAGATCCTGCTGGCTGAGAGAGACTGAATACAGCACAACAGCAAATACAGGGGTATCCTTTTGCACTACCCTCATCTGGGCACAGAATTAAGAAAGAAGGTGGCCAGGAAACAAGAAAATTCTGTGGCTCATCTGGATCTCACAGGCTCGATTTTGGTTCAAAAAACATACTATAATTCTTAAAATACAGCATAAACATATATATGATAATCCACAACATTCAAATATTCTGTACATTAATATTTTTTTTGCATTACAGACTATGTATTAGAAGAGAATTCACTAATAAAAAGTTTCTAATCTGAGCACATACAATACATCATTTTTTCTTCTTTCTTAGTTCATTTCACTGCATGTCCCATTGCTGCCTAAAGATAGACTGTGCTGGGGGAATGCTGCTAATTAGTGCTTTGGATATATAAACAGTTAGCTACCAGAAAGCACAGCAAGCAGTTCCCTGTGATCCTGTTCAGAAGAGTCCCTTTCTTGATTCTGGATGAGAACATTATCAGTTTACACCCAAAGATCTACCAAATCACTCTTTGACCTTAATTAAAGGGCTAAAATATGTTCTCTCAGCTGGTTACCACTGTCTTTGTGCATCAAAACCCAATAGTGATAAAGATGATAGACTAGATATTATATCCACTTCATTATTTCTAGAAGCATCCTTCTGAATATTGTGAGGAATTCACAGGTTTGTGAAACCAGCTGCATGCAAATATGAGCCTATGCTAAATACTCATTATTAAAAATATCCAGAAAACATGCGAGATTCATTTCGTTTTTATAAGATTATCAGCCTGACCAAACCATGGACAAAACATCTCAATCCTCCATCTACTGATCTAGTTACATCCATCTATCAACCAAAATTTAGATGCAGACAAAACACCTCATTAAAAATAAATTAGGATCTGCCAAGAGGAAACAAAGCCATTAGGACTAAAGCAATACTCTAGAAAACAAAATGAGCACTGAAAGCAGCAAAATTCCACATCACCTGCAGCAGGTCTTGTTTAATACCAATGGTATTAAATAATAATACCAATGGTATTTAATACCAATGGTATTTAATACCAATTGGTATGTTTTACCCAATATCAGGGTGCTCACTGAAAAATAGCTTTCTAAATGTGGCAACTATCACCACAAGTCTTGAGGATAATAAATGTAGTGATGGGAGAAAAAAAAGTATTTTGCAACTTTTAGCTACAAAGAAACCAATCTAATGAGATCAAAAGTGCAGTCAGTACTTCCTACAATAATTCATGTAACTGCTGAAAAATCTGCAAAGAGTTGCCCCCAGTCCAAAAAACCCAAACAAAACAGCACCAGATGCTCTTTAAAAATACAGGGATCAAAACATAACCTGAAAACACAACCAGTTTAAGCACACAGAGCAGACACTGATAAAACACAAGCCCTGTGCATTCAGGAAGAAAATACAACCAAACAAAAGCCCCAAAATCCCAAAGCAAAAACAAACACCCTTTTAAAAAGTGAAATTATAACCAAATATTTGAAAAAAATGAGAATTCTAAGGTAGTTCTTGCAAAATCAAACTGCCTCTGAGAATAAAAATATTCTTTTTTACATCTACTTAGAAACACTTTTTTATTAAAAAAGGCCGTGGAGAATTACTGCAGGCCATCACAGAACAGACCCTTTACAAGTCCCATTTCAATTTGGATATTCAGATTAAAAACCCCACTTTATGGACCTGTATCTACAGATCTACCTGTGGAGGGCACATGTGACCCCCCCCTGCTTGTAAAGCTGAAGAAACTCACCTTGTGACAAACTTCTGATTTAATTTCTTTGAGGGCACGTTCAGAGAACACACAGCCACAGTTTCTCAAGAAGCAAAACCTTCAAAGAAAAGACAAGATGCAACATGATTTTAAGAAACCCTGTGCCCAAGAGAGATCTGTGCAGTGCTGGTTGAACACAGAAATAATACTGCAATGGGTTAGCAGGACACAACTAACTTTATTTACTAGTTCTTGCATCTAATATAACTATCAGCACATTAAAGGGGCAATTAATTTATTATTAGTTTGTACAATGTAAGACTAGAACAAAAAATATTGTGTACATTAAACCACAACATTTGTTATTTCATCCTCACAATCTCCTGGCTAATCACTGTCTGGAGGAAGAAATACTTAGCAACTGTCAAGCTGTGAACCACCATCATCTCACTCATCAGGGTGAACATGCACAGACAAAGAAACTGCCCAAACCAGGACGTGAGGAAATTCTCTGCCCCAGCCCAATAAAACCCAGATTATTGCAGGATTAGGACACAGAAGCCATCTCCACTCTGGTCCTAACACAGGCAGAGGGAGAATGGAGCAGCTCTGCTGTGAGGAAAGGCTGAGAGAATTGGGATTGTTCAGCCTGGCTCTGGGGTGACCTCATTGTGGCCTTCAAGTGCCTGAAGAAACTACAGGAAAGATGGAGAGAGACTATTTACAGGGGTCTGGAGTGACAGGACAAAGGCAGGGTTAGATGGGATATTGGGAAGAAATTGTTCCCTGTGAGGGTGGGGAGGCCCTGGCACAGGTTACCCAGAGAAGCTGTGGCTGCCCCATCCCTGGAAGTGTCCAAGGCTGGGTTGGATGGGGCTTGGAGCAACCTGTGATGGTGGAAGGTGTCCCTGCCCATGGCTGGGGTTGGAATGAGATGATCTTTAAGGTCCCTTCCAACCCAAACCATTTTGGGATTCTAAGTGCTCGATGTGACACAAAGGGAGTCTCATCAATCTCCTATGGTTTGGCCTCCAAACATTGCCCTCTACTCCTTTATTATACATCTAAATTCAGTTAGGAAAGGATTAGCTTTTATCTTTTGAACATGCAATGAAAGGACACTCAGTGGTCTCTTAAACTCCCTCCTGAAAGAGAGACAAACATTCCCCACAAAGGCCTGGGCAGATACAAGATTTGCAGCATTATCCATTCAGATATCTGCTCTGTGTTCAGTTCAGCCCAGTGCTCACTTCTAAACCCAAAATGCAGACCCTGAAACACTGACCTGTGTCTCCCATTCATCTCCAGCCCCACCACGGGGCAGATAAATCGTGCAGACTGCAGGTCATCATACTTGTCACCTTTTATACTCTCCTTATCCCCACTCCAGGCTGGATTATCCACAAGGTTCAGTTCTGTCACGTTCTGAAAAATAAAAATGCAGGCCTTGAGTTTTCAACCAATGATTTGGAGCCATGATAACATTCCTTAAGATTTTTTCTGTTGTGTTTTGGTACTTTTAACACTTTAATACAGGGTGAGAACACAAGCAGACGGAGGTCTTACAGCATGACTGAACTTTCCCTCATGATTTTAACTTTTACCTTGATGCTCTTGATGTGGGATGCAGATTCCATGGGGGTCTTATCAGGTGACTTGTCCAGCAAAAACTCAATGATGGCATCTTTGTTGTACAACCTGTAACATCGAAATTCCGGTGATCACGTTTGATTGCCACGGCAGTTGTATTTATAAGTTTATCTATAAATTATTTTTACAATATTTATATTATTTATAATAATGATCACATTTAACGACCATTATTTTTTCCCCCTGTGGAACCACCCCTACCTGCCCAGCTCACAGGCCACGATGGGCCGACGCAGCTTCTCCTGGCTCAGGGCACAGTAGAACCACCTGGCCACCAACTCAGCAACTTTGTCGACCTGAAGGAATGAAAAAAAAACCCCTCGTTATTTTAAAACAGCTTTTATATTTGCAAATTATTTAAGCATAAAATCAGGTACTACTCAAAGCATTAGTGAGATCCTCAGGTTTCTTACCAAACCTACCTTCTGCACTGTTAATTAATTCATAAAATAACTTTAGCAAGGCTGTTTAGCAACGTTCATGATCAGTTTTGAGGCTCTGCCTACTGACTCCATTTCTTTGTCATGGAACATGAGACCTCTCTGCCTAAATCTAACTCAGTTTTTATATTTTTGTCACTTTCACCAGTCCCCTCTTGATACTTTTTTTACTCTTCACATGTTCTCCACCACCCTCTTCTCTCTGGTTCTACATCTCAGCCCTGCTTGGATCAGCTACCGCTTCCACTCCCTGGAAGGAATGAGGTGAGGAAGGGTTCCTTCCCTGTGAGAGTGGGGAGGCCCTGGCACAGGTGCCCAGAGAAGCTGTGGCTGCCCCATCCCTTCAGGAGACTCTTGAACCCCTTGTATTCTGCAGATGACAAATCCCAGAATTACTGAAGCTGGAAAAGCCCTCCCAGCCCATGGAGTCCCAGCTGTGCCCTATACCCATCTTGGGACCCAGCCCAGAGCACTGAGTGCCAGATCCAGTCATTCCTTGGACCCTCCAGGGATGGGGACTCCAGCCCCTCCCTGGGCAGCCTCTGCCAAGGCCTGAACACCCTTTCTGTGAAGAAATTCCTTCTGATGTCCAACCTGAACCTCTCCTGGCACAGCTTGAGGCCATTCCCTCTCCTCCTGTCCCTTGTTCCCTGGGAGCAGAGCCTGACCCCCACTGGCTCCCTGCTCTTGTCAGGGAGTTGGGGAGAGCGAGAAGGCCCCTCCTGAGCCTCCTTTTCTCCAGGCTGAGCCCCCTTAGCTCCCTCAGCTGCTCCTGGTGCTCCAGACCCTTCCCCAGCTCGGTTCCCTTCCCTGGACACGCTCCAGCCCCTAAATGTCCTTCTTATTGTGAGGGGCTCAGACCTGGACACAGCACTGGAGGTGTGACCCCACCAGTGCCCAGCACAGAGGGACAATCCTTGCCCTGTGGCCACGCCGTTGATACAGCCCAGGTACTGCTGGCCTTCTTGCCCACCCGGGCTCACGTTCGGTTGTTGTCACCAGCACCCCCAGGGCCTTCTCCAGCTTTCTAGACGCTCCTCTCCCATCCCGGAGCACTGCTGGGGGTCGTTGTGACCCCAGCGCAGGGCCCAGCACTCGAACCTCGTGTCTCAACCCCCCCAGGAGACAAAGGGCCTCCCTTGCAGCCACATACACAGACACACAGACACACAGTCACAGACAGAGACAGATAGCCGCGAGCCGGCCCACGGCGCTCCCCTCCCCCTGCCAGCGCCGGGAGCGCCATGCCCGGCTCTCCCTCCCCCTGCTTCCCCCTCGGAGCCCCCTCGGACCTTCTCGACTTTTCGGGGCCCCTTGACCAGCTCGTGCCGCTTGGGGATGGTGCCGCCATCGCACCCCATCGCACTTCCGGGTTCTGCTCCTCCGCGCACTTCCGGCTCGCACAGATGACGTTGCCGCTATTGCTTAGCAACCAGCCGGCTGGGGGCGTGGCCACGGGGGCGCTCGGGTGGGCGAGTCCATCGCAGCAGGGCTGGGAGGGGTGCGGGACGTACCAACGGAGCGCGCGGGGGGGGGGGGGGGGGTGTCACAGCGCCCCCGCGCGGCCGCGGGAGGAGCTGCGGGCGCCGCTCCCGCCCCTTCCCCATCTCGGTCCTTCCCCATCTCGGTCCTTCCCCATCCCGCCCCTTCCCGGCCCCGCGGGTTTATCTCTTGTTTTTGTGAGAGAAACCCCCACCCCGGCCACCCGTTTTGGGGGATTTAGGGCCAAACGAGGCTCTCCCGCGCCGGGCGGGGCTGGCTGCAGGATGAGGGGCCGCCGTCCCGCCCTCAGCCCCGGGGCGATGTCAGGGCACGGACACGGGTGGTGTGAGGGGCGAGTTTAATCCAACACGCACAAAGCCAGCGGGGGAGGGAAGCACTGCGTTTAACTTTGCAAACAGGAATATTTACACGAGTCGGCGTTAAATACCGGTGTAAAACGCGGCGGGTGCCGAGGGAAGCTCGAGGATGCTGAGGGGGGAGCTGGTTCCCAACAGACGCTGTGCGGGTCAGCTCCGACTGCCCCCAAAATTCATTGTCCCACCAGAAAGACACCGATAAAACATCGCCAAGAAAGGCCAAGAAAGGCCAGACATTGAAATTACAGATACAAACATTAAAATAAATTAATCAGGGAAGCTACAAGTCACACGGGTGTACCCACGCTCTGCCTGTGCGGTCACAGCGTCTTTGTCGTTGGATTTCACACCCAGAAAATTTGGGGTAAAGTTAAAAAGCTGCACGGACCAAGGCAGCTGAACCCCTGGGCAGCTGTGCCAGCGCCGGGTGTATCTTGCTGCTATTCCAGTAAGGATTAACGTCACCTTTGCAGTCTGTGGGAAGGGCTTTGGAACCCTCTGCACGTTTAGTGACTAAAATAAATTCTGTCTCAGTTGGAGAAATGCTCTGAACAGCTTCAGGCTACGACAGAGGACGACTGAGGTGCTCCCTGTACATTTACCACTCCTCCAAGTCAGTTTTCCTCTGTGCTCAGGTGCCAGCCTGGAGCATTCCCCATTAATATCTAGGCTATGTTTAGTACCAGATTTTGTACCATAATAGGTTTGTTGCATTTGTATGTTAAACCCCAAAATTAGCTTTGCAGCTGCTTGGGAAAAAAATACTGTAACTACAAATTCTGAGTAAAGTCCTCAGGAAACAATTGATCATAAGCTACAGAACATTGTGCAGCTAAATCTGGAGATAGACTTTACATGCCTGAATAGAAAAAAATACAAAAGGAAAAGACAGTTATCTGACCTATAGAGAGAATAAAAAATAAGAAATAAGTCAGATAATAAAACCATTTTGCTCTAATACACAGCAAACATTCCTGCCCAGCCACTCCGACGATGATATTTCCAGACAGGATCTGAACAGTGGAGAAGAAAGAATAGATTTAATTCTACAAATCTTCTCCTACATCTGCTGGATTTTCACCTGCTAAAATTGCATCAGCACCCCGGGAACTCCCGGCAGGAACTTTGAGGTGACTGAAAATTGGTGTCACTGAGCTGTTTTTGCTCCCCTTTGGCTGCCAAAGGGGCAACAGCAGTGGAGAATGTGTGAAAACAGTGACATTCCGTGTCTCATTCCATCATTGCTCTGAACTGCTGCGTGTACTTGGACAGCTCCTCGGTCCGATCCCGAAGTTCCCTCGTGGCGTCTGCGTTGGGATATTTTATGGCGGCGTTTTTGGTGGCCAGAGCCAGGTTCTTCAAGAGGCTGCAGAACCGGCTGCTGCTGTGGAGGACGTCGCTCCGGGCATCCCTTTCCTGAGTCTCCTGGCACAGAGAATCCACCAGCTTTTGTCCCACCATGATGATCAGTTTGCTGTGGGATATGAACACTTCGGGGGGCTGGTTGTGGTTCAGGCTGTTGGTGAACACCCCGATGGCCTTGTGCAGGGCAGCGAAACACAGCCTGCAGTGCTCGGGGAGAGGGATTTTCTTGGCACAGTCCTGCTTGCTTTGAATTCCAGCCTTTTTTGCAGTTGGCAAAGCCTGGAGAAAGGTTTAAAAAAACATTCATCTCGGTGTCACACACTGATTGTTTCTTTAGTCGCTCCAGCCTAAATTCTTAGTTCATACTCTCCAAATTGCCCCAGCCCAGGAGCTTTTACAATAATTTCTCTTCCCATAAAGTATTGGAAATTCTCCCAATTGCCTTTTTGCCCCTAAATACAATTTTAATAATGGATAGCACACAAAGTGCTGCAGCCAAACACCAACCCTTTACACATTCTGGACTTGAAGCTTTCAGATAGTACAAAACATTGATCTTTAATGGGCTTAATCAGGGTTATGAATGATTAAAATGGACAAAACAAGAGTCAATTTTGTACCAGTGCATGACAAGATATTTTGAAATACTAGTCCTCACAGCCTTTTCCCAAATAATGCACAAAGGCAAGAAAATAAATAGTATGACGTTGAACTGGAGGGGTTCATTATGTTTGAGGAAAATAAATGTTTTTCACAATTTTCAGCAGTAATTCTAAGAATAAGTTCTGGGAAATGAACCATGAGAAGCAAATAGATTATGGATAGAGATGTGTGTCTGAATGCTTTGAATTTTGGCAAGCACAGAAATCAGGGACTAGAAGTCCTCATAAATAATAGTTTTCAAAATCAGAAATACCTTCAGTTTTGAATCTGTGCTCTTCTTTGCTACTTCTTTACCTGAAATGATTTTCTGTGCCTGTTATAAATTAAAATGAAAGTAAAGTTGAAATGACTTACAAGAAGATTTAAATATAAATATGTTTTTCTCTTATTTCACGAGGAAACAACTACTTGCTCTGCAGCCTTCATGTTATGGACAACAATGGTACATTTATTAGAAAAAAACTGTAGGTTTTTTCCTACTAAAAATATAGTGTCTCCTCCTGCAAGATCTAAGACTGAAAGCAACATGGACAAAATAACCTTTCCTAAATCCTAAGGACATGCCAACATTTCTTTGTGAAACCAAGAGAGATGTTCTTGGTAGATATTTCAGTAGTTCTAAGGAGAATGGTTCTAACAAACATCCAAAATGATTCTAACAAATAAATTTGATAATTCACAGTAAGAGTTTGATTTGTTACAGCAAAATTTTCTATGAAAACATGATTTCCAATGTACCTCAAGTTAGAAAGTAACATTTCTTGTCCAGTCATGTCAGAGCCAAACACAATGAACTGGCAAGAAGAGAACTAAAAGGCAAAAGAGAAGAAAGGATTTGCAAACTCCCAGCTAAAACCTGTCTCCCAAATGAATTTAAACAGATTATAAAGATTTTTTGTTGGTGCTGGCTGGATAAATTCTCAAACTCCAGTTCTCTTTATGGATTAAAATGATTCTCATTCCACATGTGCCACCCAGCACTGGAAAAAAATCCTGAGTTCAGTCTGGAAAATGGGAAGTAGTGCAAACTGAATCTGGCACTGATGCAAAGGTAAAATAGTGGCAATAGCTTAATATCTACAAACAATGAAGAACAGGGATAGTAAAGCCCAGTTTTACTGACCTGTAACTGCACATAATCACAATCCTCAGTGGCATTTTCCTCCTGTTTCTCCAAAGGCACCCGACTCTGGCTGGGTTTGTCAGGAGCGTTTCTCTGGAGCGACTCTACTTCTATTCTTCTTGGCACTGGGATTTGTTTTGCCATTTTGCATTCTGGGCTCCCTTTTGGCTGCTTTATTTCTTGTTCCTTGTCATTCTTTCTGAAGAGCAGCTTCCCGTTGGCGATGATGATGGACACAAACCTCTTGATGTCGTCGGGAATCGTGCGGGCCACCATGACGAAGCGGTCGAGGTCATCTGGGTTGTTCTGGGGGCTCCTGAGGACCAAGGCCTCGAGTGACCAGTTGCAATTGTTTAGAGCTTCCCTTGTCTCTGTTAAAATTTGGAAGGAGTTCACAAGGATCTCCAACTGCTTTTTAATCCTGGTCTGAAGGTTGCTGTCAGTGAGGTGAGAGGCGTTTCCCTTTATGGCTTGGGCAAAGGCCAGGAATTCTCCCAGGGACACCTTGATGTGATCCACGGCTCTGTGGATTTCCTCAATGCTCTTCTCCAGGTGTTCCTGCAATCGCCACTTACTGCTCACAAAGATCATTAAACTTGCAACTGAGCTGGACACGCTGTGCTGCAGCCTGGTCAGGGTCTCTATGGCTACTTCAAGGCCCATTTTGATTTCTTTGCCAGGCTCTTCCGATGATGAGGACGTAGAAAACAACTCAGCAGATGAGCTGGAGGATGTGGAGAGTGTGCTGCTCCTGCTGTCCACACTAGAAACAGATGAGATGTCTCGTCCTAATTTGGCACCTCTGGGGAGCTTTGGAGAAGCACCATGTGCTTGTTCTCCAGAGCTGTCACTGTTGTTTTCCATCTCTTTCTTGGACTGCCCAGGGGTGGGCAAACCTTTTGGAATATCATAAACATTCCCTTCGGAGATCTGACTCTCAGCCTTTGGAGCCAGGAGACTCGGGGGTACATCACAGCTACTGCTCTGTGGCAAAAGGAGCACATCCCGTGAGGATGGAACGTCATAAAGGGGGATATCTGGAAGTGTTAATTTCTGTTGTGTCGATGGGATATTGTATAATTGTGGATTTACAACCTTGCCTTCAGCATTTGTTGTTGGCACCTTGTACCTGGCTGGTGGGGTATCATACAGCACCTGGTTCTCCCAGGAGTGGCCAGAAGGGTGCTGTTTTAATCCTGATTTTTCAGGTGATACTGGAATATCATAAATCCATTCTGACTTCCGAGGATTTGGCAAAGTATTGTACTGGCCCCAGCACTTTTTTTGAGATTTGTTTTCTGAAGCATCAGTTTCTCTTTTGGGAGGGACATCATACAACTGCAACAGAGCACAGAGGGCTTATAAACCACGAGCACAGAGGGTTTATAAACCACCCTTGTTTATAAAACAAGAAGTAAGAAACAAAACTGAATTCTCAGAGCACATAAATGTGTGCAACTCCACTGATGTCAGTGGAACTGCACCACCAAAGGGCTGGCCTGTGTTTTTTATTTTCTAAAATGCACAAGCTACACATGTAGAAGGTAAAATATTTTGAGCACAGGTGATTAGATCATACTGCAGTGTCCCCAGCCAGGGACATCTGTAGACACTTGATTTTTTTCCCATTCATGTGCATACCCTGTCAAAAAATAAATAACCAGCAGACATCACTCACTCTTCTCAAATACCTTCAATTAATTTAAATTTTTGCTTGATACGGGTTTGCTAAGATGGGAACAGTTTATCCAGTGCCTTAAAAATATGTGTGTCTACAGCTGAAGTCCAATTTGGAAAAGGCAAATGCAGGAGTACTTCTTGTGTAATAAAATCCAGACTAACACTAACATTTAAGGAAAGATCCTACCTGCATGAAGCACATCCACAGGGGGAATGCAAGGAACTACAGGAATGTGCAGTAACAAGAAATAACTGAAAGTTGTTATATAATACAGATTTTAGGAAAAAACTAACCAGGTCAGGCTTCCCCATTTGTGGAAAATGTGCATGAGAAGGAGAGGCAAGGAATGACAAGGGTGTTTCAGGCCAACCAGGGAGCCTCAGATTCCCTGTGCTGGAATGGTCCTGCTCCTCTGCCCTGGGCACTAAGGAGCCTGTCAAAATCCTCTTGGATCCTAAAGCCATTCAGGAAACCTGAATTACTTGGCACTCAACTAATAAAAAGTTTCCATTGAGATGTTTTCTTAGTTGTGAAATTTCAGATCAGCCCTTTCTTCAAGGATGGTCCTTGGCAAACACGGGGGGAGAGGTGGGAAACCTGCCCCTCTGCCCAAGGTGGGTGTCACGGCACTGACAGATTGTTCTCTTGGGTCCAACAAATCTTACTTACATTGCCTGCTGGTGAGTCTTTCTGGATCCCAGCTCCTGCCTTTTCTGGGCTGGATGGGATGTTGTAAAGCTGCTCCTGCTCTGCCTGGAAGTTCTCGGTGGGTCTGACTGGCACGGAGCCCTTCCGTGCAGTGGGTGGAGTGGCACCGCTCTGGGAAAAGGGGAAAAAAAAACCTGATTGACTTTGATTCTTTTTAGATCTCATTGAACACTCTGGTGGAATCAAAGGCTTGTGGGAGTAGCTCCTGGTTTGGACAGCGTGGGTCACCCTCAGCCTGCAGGGGAGCTGTTGGAGCCTTCCTGCAGTGCTGGGTGGGAGGACGAGGCAGCCACTACTGGCACACCTGGCTTTGGGTCTGAGCAGGAATCACCCACTTACACAAGGAGCTAACTCCAGAAAATATGTGGATAACTTGATAACAATGGAGTGGGCTTAATCCTGCCCTGCCAGCTGCTGCCAGGATAAAGTGCGTGGGGAGGGTCCATGGATGTGCTCCAGTCCCACCCACACCTTGCATGGGAGGTGACAGGGCTGGGGCCTGGTGTTCGTCCCATCCCGGTGACCTGAGGGATCGAGGGAATGTGACAATCACCCTCCTCAGGGAAGCACAGCAGGACCAAGAGCAGGATGATGCAACAGGACACTTCAGTGGTGGATGTGATCCTCCTGATCACAAATCCATGGGATGTTCTTCCCCAGGAGGTGGGTGGGGTGGGTGACATTGAGTTTTTTTTTGAACACGCACTTGTGACTCTTCTGTAAACACCCTGAAATCATCCTGATCAAATGACACAGACACAAAGCACATTTCCTCATGGATTCCAAGCAGAGAGGGTGACCCTCTGATACTGAGAATTCTGTAGGACATCAGTAGTGTCAATCTCTCTGCCTTGGAATCCAGCAAGAAATGCCTTAATAATGGTAAAACTGAAAGTGTTCATTAGAAGCATACCAAATTTAGGACCAGTTTCTCTGAATTTCTAAGAAACTCAAGAGAACTGCTTCAGGTTTTGAGCTAAAAATAAATTATTTTCTTCCCAATTTTACAAAAAGCGAACAGGGAGGTACTGGAATTTGCCTCAACATCGACTCTGAGGTTCTACAGAGTCCCAGCTGCAGGGAGGGCACCACGGCAGGACCCACCTGTGTGAGCAGGGACTCCCGGCGCTGTGTGGAGGGAACGTCGTACACCTCACTCCTGATGTTTGGGGCTGAAGCCCGGCAGGCTCTCGGGAGAGTAAACAGGTGCTTGGAGGGGGAGAAAAACAATAATGAGAAAGCTGCAGTGAGCAGGAAGCTCAGGACATCTTTGGAAACTCATTTAACTGGATAGGCCACTGTTGCAGTAATCACTCTTAAGGGATTAAAAACCTTCAGCTCTTCACTGAAGCCGGGGTAGGAACTGAGCTTAGAAGCAGGTGGCATTCTTCCCTCAGAATTCTCCTTTGCCAGCATTTCTGCTGTATTTCAGGTGAGATAAGAACTGGCACATACAAATCAAAGACAATCTGCCTGAGTAACCATGGGAGGGAAAAGATTTGGAGGAAATCCAGCTTCACTTATCACTTAAATCTTTAGACTAACCAAAAGCAGAACCACTGAAAAAGGAAGTGGGGAAATTTCTGCTTCTCCAGGCACACAGAGCCATGGGGTCAAGCCATATTTAGTGTAAGAGCAGCAAAAAGGTGTGGGCTGAGCATTATTCTGTAGTTATGAAAGACTGACTCATTCTGTAGTTATGAAAGACTGACTCAAGGAGTAAACCTTGATGTCCTGTTCAGCTCCATAAACAGGGAAGTCTGATATGAGAATTACATTATTGGTCTGTAGTCGAATTCTCCTGTTTGCTTAAAACATAATTTGAGAAGGCATGACCACATCTGTGGGATAATTAGTTAAGATCCCAAAATTTAGGGGAAATATGGTAGAGGAACTAGACTTCACCCTTACAACTGCCTGTTTCAGCTTTGTGGAAGCTCTTAACTCTCATCTGAAGAAAGGGGAGGAGGAGTGAAGATAAATCCCCTTAGTGCTCTATGAAACAGAATCACAGAATCACTGAGTGGTTTGGGTTGGAAGGGACCTTAAAGGCTGTCCAGTTACACCCCCTGCCATAGCAGGGACACCTTCCACTATCCCAGGTTGCTCCAAGCCCCATCCAGCCTGGTCTTGGACACTTTCTGGGGTGGGGCAGCCACAGCTTCTCTGGGTAACCTGTGCCAGGACCTGGTGATCACCTTTACCTGCAAACAGAGGCGTAAAAGAGACTTCCCTGAGCAGAAAGGGTAAAAGACAAGAGGTATCAAGAAAGCCATCCTTAGCTCAGCTCTGTTTTCATGTCGACAAATCTCACTATACAGCAAAAAGGAAACTCACTGGATATCACATCTTACTACTTTTTAAAGTCCTTTCAGTGAGAGTAAAACATGAAGGTGCCCTGTGTGTCAGGCAGCAGCAACGAGGCTTCTCTGTGGGCTCTGAGGGATTTTGTTTTGTTTTATTGCTTTCAATCACAGTGGCTTTACCCAGCTGCTCAGAGGACAGCTGACTATGCCAGGAGCTTTGCCAGTTGTCCCACAGGCTCTGCGTGGGGCGGTCCGAGTGCTGCAGTTCATCCTGGCCTTTCACAGGCTGCTCTCCCTGAGCCTTCCCTGCATCTGGGCATGGCTTGTGACCACCACAGTGCAGTTGGTGTGGGAACAGCTGGGACACTGTGCAAGACACAGCTCAGCTCTGAACTTCTAGATCATAAATGCAGGCTGGGACATTTCCTTTTCATTCTCGGTTAGAGCAGACAAAGCTTAGGTGTATAAACTCAGGAGATGAGAGGAAGAGCCAAGGAGCTCTTCTGTTGGGCCATTCATTCAGAAAATGAGTAGATGAACATTTTCCACCTGATTTGCTGGCACAACGTGGAAAATTTGTCCCAATCTCGCATTCAGTTTGCAAATGGCTCCTTTAGGATCAGGAATGTGGAGAAATCAGATCACGGTAAGTACAAAATGGTCCTTTGCAGCTCTTAGCTTGAGCTTGCAGTTGTGGGAACTGCACACAAGGTCTGCACTGCAGCTGCAGTGCTGAAAATTAGGTTTCAGTCATCAGGGTTGCACTGAGTTTGTCTGTTTTCCAGCACCCATCTGCCACACAGCAGGAAGCAGCATCTCGGTTTCCATGACTTGCCTCCCAGCACAGTGGGAGGGAAGGTGGCCCCATAAATCAAATGATCATTAAATCAGCCTAAAAGACTGTATATCTCAGGGCTGAATTTTCTTCCTTTTCCTTTTTCAATTAGCATTTCTAACATGATTTTCCTACACAGAATAAAGAGCCACCCAGGGCTGAAGAGCTCATGGAACTGAACAAAAACTTGGACTTGAATTTTGTACTCACTTGCTCTATTTACTTTTCATTATAAAACAGTCCCCATTTATTTTTTTCCTGAAGAAAGCACAAGTTTTTGCTCTTAAGACATTTGATGCAGCATGTACATGTTCCATGTGCAGATGGATGTAAAGACCCCACATGTGCCCAGGGGACTCTGGATGGCCACATGCTGTGAACAATCAGAGGAGAAAGTTCTGTGTCTTGTTATTTTAACTTCGGGGAAGGTTTGTAAATAATTTCTAGATTCTCCCAAACAAATGGTATATTCTTTGCTTCCTGCCCTATTTTACAGCTGCTTTAAACTGTCAAAAAAGTGAGTGACTACAGAATATAGAGACTCTCATATGTTGCCCAGAGCAGTGTTTCTCACATAATGCTATAAACTGTAGTAGAATTGATGGGAGTTTCCTAAACACCATCATTCTTTTGCTGCAAATTCCACTGAAAAGCTCAGGCTGACGGCCTTTGTTATTTTCCCACTCCCAGTGGTTGTTTCAATAATAACATCTGTTACTTTCAGGGATGTTTGCCTTACCTGGTGTGTGGAGCTTTTGGTCCTCTCACTGAGCAGCTGCGCAGCCAAGGCTGGCACCTGATATATGGCTTGGGCAGGCGTGGCAGAGAGCCTGCCTGGGGGTTTGACCCACCCCTCCATCTTCTCGTAGGTGGACGACACCACGGTGGGTTTGGGGCCGGAGGGAACCTGGTAGATGTTTTGTTGGCCCGCTGGCAGCTCCGTGGGGTCGCTCCGGGTGGAAGGAAGCAGCAGGATGGTGGGAGAGAGCAGCTGGAGGCGGTTGGCGGGGGCCAGGCCCTGCCTGCCATGCAGGGAGCACTTCCACCAGCCCTCGCTGCCGAGGACGTGCTGGTCCAGCACGGTCAGGATGTCTCCCTTGCGGAAGGCCAGCTCGTCCGAGCACTCGGCCTTGTTGTCGTAGAGCGCCTTGGCCAGCGTGTTCTGGGGACACAGAGAACACCAGCAGTGCACTGTTACACCCACAGCAGTGGTCATTGGGGTCTGCTTTGGTGTTTATCCCCACCTCGATTTCGATTTAGTTCAAGCACAGCCATTATCACATCAAACCACCTTTCTCAGAGCACTGGTCTCAGGAGTTAAACTTCTGCCTGTGCAAACTTTAGTGCAAACTTTAGCCTGTGCCTGCTACATTCAGTGCATAAAGAAATAGATAATAATAACTGAACAGCAAGGTCATGGGTTCAATCTCCTGTTCAGTCCTCTGTTCAATTCCCTGTATGGGCCATTCACTTAAGAGTTGGACTCAATGATCCTTGTGGGTCCTTTCCAACTCAGAATGTTCTGTGATTCTGTGATAATACTACAATATATTTCTTCAGCACCTTTTCCCCACAAGGCTCTTGAAGAACACTGCTAATGTTCATTATTTAGACTTATTATATTAGACATATATATATATGAGACTTATAAGCTAAAACACAAGAAGTTCCACCTCAACATGAAGAAGAACTTTCCGTGGAGGGTTTGGCAGAGCATTGGAACAGCTGCCTTGGGAGGGTGGAGAGTCTCCCTCTCTGGAGACATTCCAAACCCACCTGGATGTGTTCCTGTGTTGCCTGCTCCAAGTGACCCTGCCTGGGCAGGGGGGTTGGACTGGATGATCTCCAGAGGTCACTTCCAACCCTAATGATTCTGTGATTCTATGACTACTGATGAACATTCCTATATGAAAAATAGATGTTTTTCCCATTGTCATTCTGTGAATTCTTCATTCTACCCCCTGCCATGGGCAGGGACACCTTCCACTATCCCAGGTTGCTCCAAGCCCTGTCCAACCTGGCCTTGGACACTTCCAGGGATGGGGCAGCCACAGCTTCTCTGGGCAACCTGTGCCAGGGCCTCCCCACCCTCACAGGGAAGAATTCCCTCCTGACATCTAATCAAAACCTCCTCTCTGTCAGTTTGAAGATGGCACTTAAAAAAAATGAGAAGTACTAACAGCAGGTGGCTTTGGTCACCTGAGGCGTTTGTGCAAAGGTTAGAGAAAGCTGTGGATGTGGTTGTTTTCAGTACAAGATAGAATTTGCTTTCAGCTCCAAAATGGGACTGTCTGCTTCCCAGGCAGAGGGACACTGGCTGTGTCTCAGTGTGAGTTTATCAGAAAGTGCAAGTAATGCCCAAAGAGATAGCACCCAAATAGGAAATGTGATGCCTTGTATTTTTGTCCAGAGCATTTGCTGTAAAGCAACAGCTGGCTTGAAGCTGCAGCAGGAGAACCCCAATTTGTCACCTCAGCTGGTGAGAAGGGCCCGTTGTTGGCTGCACACGATCCGTGGTCGGGGTGGCCACGAACAATGGCCTGTTTGTGAGCTGTGGGCTCGTCCCTCAGCAGCTGCCAGGGGTGGACAACAGCCCTTTTTACCTTGTGTCCCAGCCTGGTTTTAGCCTCGAACATGGGAGTCCCCCTTCTGCTTGGACAATGCCAAATGTTGCAGTCAGGCCCCCAGGAATCCCACCACGAGCACAGCCTGGGCTTCACACGTCGTTGCAATTGTGGAAAAAAAAAAAAGGAAAACGTCCAACTTTTCCTATTATTCATCAACACTTTGAGATCCTTGTTGTTGGATGCTGTACAGACACAATGAAAAGCAGACCCTGTTCTTCATCCCTGAGGAGGATGGGCAGAGGAACTCTCTCCCCCTTTTCCAACGTGAAGAGCCTTATCCAGGCGCACGCAGGAAATGGGTGGCGGGGCAGGAAGCCTGAACTCGGGAGTGGAGCTTGGCACAAACAAGGCTGTCCTTCCTAATTGCACCAACACAAACAAGAGGAAGATTTGTTTCACTGTGTGGTTTTAAAAGGCATCTAAATGTTGACGTTTCCTCAGCTAAGTCTTTCCCATGGCAGTAGCACACTCAAAACATTGCTGGGCCTAATGCTTTAATCAAACAATGTGTGAAACCACACATCTATTTTCAAATCTCATTTCTTTTAGAGCAACTATGCATCCAGGCCAGAAATACCAATTCACATCTAGTCTGCTAGTGGTAAGAAATAGATTTACTTCTTAGTAACACAGGATGCCATCCCTGTTCCAGTTTGCCTTCCAAAGATGCCTCATTTTTCAAGACAACTCCTCCCAGCCAATTGATTTTGTGATCACAACAACAGGAGGAGAAATTCTATAGACAACATTTCCAGGAGGTGGGTGCTTGATATGACTGCACAGATTGCTAAGGTCCACCAAGTCTGTCTCCAGTGGTGTGGAGTGAGGTTATCTGTACTCCAGGCTCTGGATCATCTAATGCGGGGCTGTTTGCCAGAAATCCAGCCCTATCTACACTCTCAGCTCTCTGGGACATGTGTGAGGGATCACTGTGGCAGCCCCTTCCTATCGTAAGCAGAAGCATCTCTGACCTGCCAGTGACTATAAACAAGAACTGAATTCCCAGGATCACAGAGACCTTTGGGGATGCTCAGCTCAGAGGAGGCCGTGCTTTGGGGGCAGTGAGATCTGCATTTTTTCCCTGTTAGCCAGAGGAAACTGTCTGTCCAACGTGTCACCCACAATGTGCCAGCCAGGGCCAGCTGGGTGGAGCTCTGTGGTATTTTATGTGACCTTGTTAATGTGTCCTTACAATAACCAACGTGTAATAAGCACTAAAGCAACACAGATGAGATCAAAGTGTTTTTCCTCCTTTGACATTTGTTGTTTCATCCTCTTCAGCAGCGCTGAAAACACTCTCCTAAGACAAAGAACATCCTAAAAGGCAGTTCTTGCCCCATGAGAGACCACCTTGGCTGTGACTTTTCTCTCACTGAGCAGATTTTAACGAGATGATGACAGCACAGACCTAGAAAACAGAGGTTGTGTTCCCTGCAGCCCCTTCCCGAGGCTTTGTGCCCCCTCCAGAGCCCATGGCTGCCCAAGGGCAATGCAAATGTGTCACACACTGAAGGGATTTACAGTGCCAGGTCCCTGGAAACAGCTTCAGTTAAAAAGTTTATGTGTAGCTGGAAGTGTGTCTCCTTTATTGGAGTGTGGATCAGATGTTAAGAGACTAATTCCTCCTACAGACTGGACTGTTCACACCTTTACTGTTTGCATACCCTTTTCCAGCTCCCCTATAAAACCTAACAGCCCTTGAGAGTCATCGAAGGGAAAGCTGTTAACTCATGTTTATTAATGGAGAGAGGGGAAATTTAATTAAGAGGCAGTGAAGATGACCAGTGTACAATTCTGTAATATAAAATTCTATACCATCCAAATGGGAATACTCATAGACTGACTCTGTACACAACAGGAAAAAATACCTCAGTATTACCAAGATCTCCTGATCCCTCTCCTATCCCAAGCCCAATCCTCAGCCTATAGTACTATGCAACAGAAAAAAAAAAATCCTTATAAAATATATGCAAATGTTGCTAGAAAAATCCAAGTGATACCCAGTGATGTGTACCAAGTGATAATTTCAGCATCCTGCCTGAAAGCCTGACACAATAATTTCTCTATTCCCTCTTCCCCCTCAGTTTGTGTTTGGAAATGTCAATTTATCACCACAGATTATTTCACATGATACACAGGTAAGGCACTGCTTCACAGCATTTCAAATAAAACAACGTTTTTCATTTATTGTCTTAAATTTGCTTCTTGAAAAACCTATTGAAATAATGTAAATAAAGAGACAGCTTTAATCGTGGGAGGTTTTGTGTGGATCAAGGTAATTATTTCTCAGCTGCATTTTGCACATAAATACATGTGTAAGCACTTTTACTGCAGGAAAACGGGACTTAAAATATTTGAGGGGGAAGAGACACAGCTAAAGGCGTCGGGTTGTGTTTGCTAAACAGTTCTGTTCGTGCATCAGTGACACCTCTGACATGTTTACAGAGCGGCTTCCAGTTAATCTCTTCATCTCCCAACAAAGCTGGAGGACTAAACATTCTCCCTCGTCCATTAGCTGGGAACGGGCTTCCCAGAGAATTCCCTTTTAAACAGCAAGCGACTTCGAGTCAGTTCAGTTTTGCCCAGTTAATTGTAGAGAGTTCCCATCGTCAACCTCCCCAGGAAAAAGGAGAATTTACCTTAAATGATCAGGTCTTTCTCTACATGCAGGTGCCTCCCTGTGGCCACGGGGCTGCACGTCCCTCTGATGTGCAGCGTTTCCTCTGACTTGCAGAAAGTCCTTCTGCTGCATTTTTTATTTGTTTATGTATTTTGGAAAATAAACGTTCAGGTCATACAGAAGTTTTGTGTGAGCTGCAATGAGGAACCGTTGTCAGGACTTGCTTTTATTGCCTATCCAACGGTTAATTGATTTTGGGAGGGTGGACCCAGGTGCTAACCAGCAGGTTTTAAATTCTCAAATGGTCAAATCAGTTCTTGATAAAATAAAGAGCCACTTTGAAAATTCAAGCAGGACCACTTAGAAATCCTGCAGCTTCCCCCAAGTCAGTGCTCCACATACAGTGGCAAATACAAGCTGGTTCTGTTAATTTTCCTCAAACTCTTTTTTCTCCACAAATGTAGTTAATCAAATTCTAGCTGTGTTAAAATCAACAGAGCTGGCAAGTGCACGCAGGATTTCACACCGTTCACAGCATTTTTGCCTCTGTGGTCTTATGGCCAAGTTCAAGAGAAAATAAACTGCCATTTCCTGATGTTTCAAACCCTGACTCTGTGTGTAGTTCTGGGATTTGGGTCCTCCTACTATCCAAAGGTTTTTGCCCATATGCTCCCAATTACTTTGCTTTTTAAACCTTTCAGTATCTTAATTACATTTTACCACAACATTTACTTCCAAACATGGATTTACAGACACAGGAAGTTCTGATGAGTACAAGTTTTCTCCTGTTCCTCAGAAATAGGTGCTTCACAGCCACTCCTTAGAGCAAGGTCCTTGCCCTCTTTCTTCCCCTTGCTCAGGGAACACACAAAAAATTCTTGGGGCACGTTGTCAGGAGCAAACTGCACGTTTTTCATTGGCAGGGACTGCTGTGTGTTCCTCTCCTGGGTGCACAGATGTGACAGGATAGTGTCCTTGCATCCCATCTGACCCGTGGTGGAGTTTCTGCCCATTTCCTGGATGAGGCAGAAGGGAGAGCAAGAGGAGAGGTCGGGGTGGGTGTTTTCTGATTCATAATGAATCAGCAGCAGCACCACAGCTCCCAAATGCAGTGGCTTCCTGCATCTCTCTCGCTGCAGTTATCTGCCCCCAAAATCAGTTCTTTTTTTAACACTTTGGACAATGCTGCAATGGTAGTATCGCTGAATGAATTAATTAACTAAATCGAACAGATTAATAAACAAGTTATTTCTGAATAAATATTACTGGCACGACAATATTTCTCTGGGAAAAGGAGCGGCTGGTTTTCCACCTGCCCTAATCACTGGTGTCCGTCGCCGCTCCCGGGTGGCAGCTGGACTTTCCCCTTTCCCTGTCATTAGCACGGGACACATGGTGACAGTGCAGACCCGTCCCCAGCCACAGCTGCCAGGGATCAGCTGTGACAGGGGGAGTCATTTAGTTGTGTGACAGCCAAAGCACAAAGCCAAGGCTGGGGGTCCCTGAGCTGTGGGGGAGTCTGGGCAAAAACACTGACATACGACTGCAAAATGGATTTGATCCATCCACCTATTCCCCCCTCCTCCCAGGGGACAACAGTATTTCCTAAAAATGAGCACTGCCACCACTCCTTTCCTCCTTTGAGCTTCACTTCTCGTTGCAAACAGCACTGCAGGACGTGGCCAGTCATTATCCTAGAGAGCACAGGCTTTCCCAGGCTCACATAGCTCCTATTGCAATTACTTGACGTTTTTGTTATCACAGCATGACTCAAATTGTTGAAACATTTCCATTACCTCTTTTCTAGGAATCAATGCTAAAACCATAATCTTTTTCTAGATAAAGTCCAGCTCAAGTGTTAGTCATTTAACCTCCTTGTTTCCAGGAAAATAGGGAAATGGCCAGTCAGGGTCATTCAGAATAACTTTGTAATAAGGCATGTTATGCATGGTAGAAACCTTTACCCTCCTTAGCCATATTGTTCTTGATAAAGCATTTTTTTCTCAGTTTTACTTGGATAATATTTTAAAAATTAAGCCCACGTGCTCTGTTAGTGATGTGCAAATCAGATGAACACAATCACAAAGGGACCCTGCCAGATGCAGATTTTACACTACAAATGAAATCAGTAAAGTCAATAAATTAACTGCAACAGAAAGAAAAGAATCCAGTACTTACATTGACCTTCATTTTGTTGCCTCTTATTTCCCTGCTAGTCCATCACCTGAGGAGGAGGAGGATGATCTCCCCCAGCCCGGCCAGTGGATCAGGCAGCACTGGAGGGTCTGGCTGGAAGCCTGGAGGGGGAAGGCTCAGCCTCTGGCACCTCCTGCTCACTGGGAGCCCCAGGAAAGGGGCTCTGGGGGATGGAGGGAGCTCATTACGTAGC